TACTAAGAGTCTAATCTTGATCTCATCGTAAAGGCTCTAGTTACGAAGGTGCTGGAGGAGCAAGGACTCTCTATGGAGCTAAGGACAGTAATGGAGCCGCCAAGAGAACTGGTATTAGTTGGTAGCCCTCTAGAAGTTTCTAACAGCCAAGGTTCCACTGCAACCACAACCCCTATCGATCGCATATAGGAACCAACTAGTTGCACCTTGGTGGTTCTCATCGGCAGGCAGAACACTATGATGGAGGTGGCAATGGGTGTGTCACATCCTCCTAGCAGCTTGCATCACAATAATAGGATTCCGCTGGACTACACTAGGGTCGAGGTGCATACCGTGAAGCCCGAGTTCATGTAGTGGTGCACAGACTACCCAACTCCCGACGAACAGCAGTTACTCGGAGAAGTAATGAACCAGTTCATCCTCTGGCACAAATGGGACATTGTATTGATTGCTTCTTTGCAACCTATTCAACGTTTAGAGAGAGTTGCTGAGGAGGGGGAGGTACTTTCACCGTCTCATGACCACCACTTGTCTAAGCTGTCACATTCTTCCCCGCCTCCTAGCGAGCACGTGCATGAGATGCCACAGCCTATACCACAGTCTTCCCTGCCTCCTAGCGAGCACGTGCCTAAGATGCCACAGCCTTCTCTGCCTCATAAGGAGCAACTGCCTGATATGGACCCGATACATGAACAACAAGGGACTCCTGAAGAAGTGCATGCACAAGAGAGTTGGGATAAAGAGTCACCAATTCGAAAATTGCATTCAATCACCATAAGGCCAATTTTTACATCAATGAGAGACGTCACGTCGACGTACAAGTGGTACACACATGACCAGTTCAAGCCTGAGAACCAAGTTAAAGAAGTCCCAGCACGGGCTTCTGAGGAGGCCATCACCAGCAAACAAGAACCAACAAAGAAGTATCCAAATATTGATGCCATCAAATGGTCAAAGGATTGCTTGAAAATATATGAAAGATGCAAGCCCTTCCTACCAAACCGGGACATTCAGCGCCTACCACTTGGAATGAGAAGGTTTCATGATTGGTACTTGCGTGTTATCCCAACGACCATAGATCTTATACAAGCACGCTTCCCTGCCGGCACATTTGGAGGCTTAGCCAGAAAAATTATCTTTGACTTTAATGACGTTTAGACATGCTTTCACCTTGGAGCAATGGAAATAAATCTAATTCGCATGTGGTGCTTATAAGTCCTTGCCCTCTCGATATGATAATATTGTAATCTTTGGATTTTGTTGCAAGTGCACCTTTCAAAACAAATGCCAAGTGTGCGACCGAGGTACGTAGACCCTCAATGTATAGCAGCAACATGTTTTAGTTATGCCAAGGACTAGAAATTGGATGCTAAAGAGCTAGCTGCTGGAAAGACTGTTGAGGAGAAAGAGAAAATCCGGAATAAGGAAATACGCGAAGCGTCCCTTAAGGTTGCGGCATACATTGCCCTAGCTTTTAAACATCTCCAAAATTGCTTTGCTATATGGCTAGCATACAACTTCGAGTTAGTTCAACTCTATACTTAAAGCTTTATTCGATATATTTTGTTCGATGCAAAAGAGCTTATCCGTTACTATGATTAAATTCCTGCAGCAACCACTGGATTTGTATAGGCGTCGATGTCGGTCTGGGTGTGGCGTGGGTCTATGATTCAATAGATAAGGACCCGACGACATATAAAGACTTCGTATCGATTCTCAAGACGTATACATATCGACAATCCTCATTACCTTATATGTTTATATACATACTTGTCATGTTCAGTTTTGGATACTAACAAGTTGCATTTATTCAATTCATTCGAACAGGACGTATAGGTTCTATGTTAACAACCATAAAGGGAGGTATGATCAACAAAAGGGCCTAACCTGTGTGTCAAAACACTATGTGCGGTAAGTGTAATTTACTTTAGTACTCCATTATGTTGGTGTCAAGAGCATTACTTAACATTTGCATATGTGAAACACACAGTGCCCCAAGCAGAAGCCCAAAAGTGTACACTGTGGATACTACGTATGCACTCTCATGAGTAACACCGGTGCATACAGGAGACACCCCTGTAAGGTAAGTTTGAACCTCTTGAATCTCTTTGGATATGCTCACTGTTTTTTTATATGATCACTGTGTTTATAGATGCTCACTGTGTTCATAGATGCTCACTGTTTTTTATAGATGTTCGCATATGTTATGACATACTAAACCCCAACCTGTTTTATTGTAGTGGAAAGAAGATAAAGGAATGAGAGCTGAACCACACAAAGATGACAACCTCTTGGAGCTCGTTACGACTTTTGCGCCTTCATAATTGACTAGATTATACACGTAAGAGGCACTTATCATGACCGAAAATTCGAGTTAGGGAGGCATTCTCAGTACCAACATCTTCGTGAGATGAAATGCTAGCTCTAGACCGTTGATAACAATGTGTATAGAATATGACATTAGTCTTACCTTGTGGAACGGTTTGTTATTGTGGAACGGATTAGACTTGTAAATTATGTCTACGTAACGATGAATTATATATGTTCTTGTGAATTGGACTTGTAATGTTACTTTATATAATAATCTTGTCTTTGTGGATACAATATTTGAATTATGTATGCATATGTGTATATATGTTCTGGTCAGATTTGATGAAATTTGAAATTTTTTGGCGAAAAAATATATTGTAGGGGTAGTTTAGTTTGATTTTTTTTTTGCGAAAAAATGCACTGTAAGAGCGATTCTAGATTGAACCGCCAAGAACCACCCTTACAAATGAAAATTATAGGGGCGGCTAGTATTACAGCTGTCCCTACAAATCATTTTACCAGTTGCCCCTACACATATATTTGTAGGGGCCGCCTCTACAAATCGATTTGAAACCACCACTATAAACCTTGATTTATAGAGATAATGTGGTAGAGACGGCTGGCAAAACCATATCTACAACCATCATCAACAGCTTCTGCAAATACTTACTATAGTAGTAAATTCGGCCCGAACATTGGGTGCATCTGTGGTACGGCCTTCTACTAGCGGCACAGCCGATCAGAAATGGAAATAGCCTACTTTTACATGCCCTACTACACCTGTGGTAAAAAAAAACCACCCTCACTAAAAATCGATTTTTTTTAAAAAAAATTACATAGTATAACGTAGACGTCCATGACAAGCACGCACACTCACTCCTATGAGCCGCTAATAAAAGTAATTTGTGTATTGTTCATGTGACTTCCGATCAAAAGAACATGATATTGTACGTGTTGAAGTCACAAATTAGGCAAAGCTGCTTATCCAAACTAGTACCAGAGATTCGCGTGCAAATTAAATTAGCTGGCTCAAAAGCGCCGTCTTCTTCTTTTGCACCAACTGACAGATATAATTACAAATACTAATGCACAAAGAAAGGTTTACTTGAGGAGGTAGCTAGCAGCAAACATGTCGTCGCCGGCAAGCCGATTGCAACTCCGAGCCTCCAAACTGTGAGCACAACCCCAGCGCCAGCGGCGATGGCACATCTGCCAGTGCCAGGCATAGCTGCCTCTGAAGCAGCATCTGCATCGACCCCTCTGCTTCTGGAGCTCGTTTTGTCCTTGGCTTTCCTGATGGGCACTGGAGGACTAATTTAACCGTAGCTATCAACGTTGGGGAGCCTCGTCAGACCCACCAGTGAGCAAACTCATACTGCAACCTGACAAATTAAATTGACTCGCTCTCGCTTGCCTCGGCACCAGCCCCAGCCAGAAGCCAAATCCTCCCTATAAAAGACTTGCCTCGTGGTACTTGAATGAAGCTTCCCTCTCACGGCAGCAAGATAGATCAGTCTTCCATTCATATCTCACAACAGTACAGCAGTTCCGTCTCCACGTACGTATGGAATTCAATTTCCAGGCCTGCTGATCCCATCAGGCGCTATATATCCCTGTAGGGAAACAATGGTAAATATAATATGGCCCTCTTATCTCCCAGCCATTTCTTGATCGAGTCCATGTTGAATTAATGTCATGACTAATATAATGTTACTTGTGTGCCAAATTGAATAAGTGATCAAAGAACCAGTGACTAAGATGGTCGGGGAATACTTTTACTTTACTTTTCTTGACAAATACATACTAGCTTATTGTGAAGCACGATGAGTGTGTGTGTGTGTGTGTGTGTGAGAGAGAGAGAGAGAGAGTCCCTCTCTCGCTCTAACATCAAAGTTGAAAGGTGACATCTTAGTTGGTTACTGTTCTAAACTGTCATGCATTTTTCATGAAGATCTTCTTAATTTTGTAAGAAATTTTTCCAAGTTCCTGCAGTCTATACCTTTGTTCAATTTACAAGAACACTGAGCAACGTAGGAGAGCGTTCATGTCACCTGTGTTGATTTGTCTCTTGCAGTTGCCCAGCAGTGTTTTGGGATGTGGAATATGTGTGTGCCTCTCTAGGTCTCCTGTCTTTGATGTCATGGCTAGAGCTTGTATGTAACACACTCTCTTTTCTATCTTAATTGAAAGGTAGAGTTCCTATCATCTTTCGAATTTTTTAAAAAGCTTTGTTTAATTTACTCCTTGAACTCAAAAGTTTGAAGATTATTAAACCCATCTGAGATTGTTTTTTGAGGGTTAGAAAAAAAAAGTTTAGCAAGCTCATTCTCTTCAACCTAATTTTTGTGCTTGGATTGGGCCTTTTACACTCCTAAAAAGTTCCTGAAAATCAAACTGCTCTGACTAGCTAGGAGACTGATATTCCATAATCTACATGCATCATATATATACTATATATAAGTATGTAACTAATGTGATCCAGTGCATGTTTTCAGAATTTCTCTTCCTAGAGATTTTTAACGAATTATAGTAGTCACTACTGATAATTATATTTGATAATAAAAAAAACTAGAGTACAAGGATATAAGACATAGTTTGTTATCTGTTTCCATTTTACATATTAAGTTCATTATTTACAGGGGACTTGCAAGGGACTGTCTGACTTTTGGCAAGGATCAAGAACCCCATCAATGGAGTTCAACGACAAATCTAGTTCTAACTTTGAGGATTTCCAAAGCAACATGTCGGCTACTTCTGGGTTCTATGCCTTCGTTGATCCAGCCGATGAGTCAAATGATTTGGAGTTATTTTTGGACCAACCAAGATCCATGCATCATTATCCTCCTGTATCAAATACTTTTAATGATAGTGACCATATTACATCGAGCACCTCCTGTTCGAGTGCAACAGATGGTCCTCAGTTCTGCGACCTCAGTAGCAATGCGGCACCAGATTGGTATGGAACCAGTGTGGCAGACTCTTCTAATAACAGTTGGACCAACTCAGATATAACCATCAACTACTTAAACAAGCTGTTGATGGACGAGGACGATGACGACAAGGTAAAATTACATCATGGAGAGTACGCCCTTAGAGCTATGGAAGAGCCTTTCTATAGAATTCTAGGACACAATAATCCAGCTTATCCTGAGTCAGCATCACTTTGTAGCTGTGGTCATCTGAATAGCCTTGATGACAGCATCAACAAGTCTTCCGGGCTCCCGTGCAGTAGCTGCTCTGTTGCTATTGACTCAAGTAATAATCATTCTAATCACAACCTGCAAGCTTTTGATGCTCCATGGAGTTTGTCTGACATAGTCAAACCGACAAAACTTTCCAATGAAGGTACACGAAACATGGAGCTTGGTGTGAAAATTGATGGCCTCTCAATTGCTGAAAAGCGTAGCCGAGATAATCAATCACTTCAGGTAAATGTTGCAGATACGAGCAAAGATGCATCATCTGAGGTTAACAGTGGAAATTACTCATGCACAGAAGATTCTTATTTGGTAGAAGCAAGGAGTGTTGGCCTACAGGATCACCGGCTCAGGTGAGTGAACCACTCACCAGTCTTGTCGAGCACCCGCTAGTGTTGCCAAGCACCCACTAGCCGTGCCGACCACGATCAGCCATTGTCCATCCCCACACACTATGGCTAGAGCTAAAAGAAGAAGGGAGAACAGAGCATGCACACACAGTACAAGACACCAGCGTTGGCCGGAGCCCTGTATAGAGAGATGGCAAATCTGAACTCTCTTTACTGAGTTACAGTGGCAGTCTATTTATACAACTCTATCCATCTAGTCCTAGTACAGCTGGCATGCTGCTACAGTGACTAGATAACACACAGGGCTGACTCTGCGCCAGCCACTGCAGGTGCCTACAGTGCTACAGGTGAGCAGATCGGCGCCTGCACCTGCAGCGACTACTGTATCACAGCAGGGGGCCTTTTCGGCGCTGCCTTTCCCTTGCCGTGTTCACACAAGGTAGCAGTAGATTATCTAACAATCTTTCCCTAATCCTACTGCTAACCCTTGTACCCCCTCTATGTCGATCATCTTCTTCAGCTGCATGAGTCAAAGACGTCCGAGCGGCTTGGTGAAGACGTCCGCGAGTTGTCGACCAGTTTCGACGAACTCGATGACGATCTGTCCTCCATCGACAAAGTCCCTGAGAAAGTGGAACTTCACGTCGATGTGTTTACTCCGGTCGTGCAGAACCGGATTCTTCGCGAGGGCGATGGCGGGCTGGTTGTCCACCATCCGTGCTGGTGGGTGAGCTTCCACGCCGGTTAGCTCGCCCAGCAGCCGACATAGCCACACAACTTGGCACGCCGCTGTGGCCGCCGCTACGTACTTTGCCTCGCACGTAGATAGCGCCACCACCTTCTGCTTCAGCGACAGCCATGAAATTGGGGCCGACCCGAGAAAGACGAGCACGCCAGAGGTGCTCCGTCGCTCGTCGATGTCCCTAGATATGTCTGCATCGCTGAACACAGTGAGCTGCAGCCTACTCTCGCCGGTCTTTGGGAAGATGATCCCATGATCTATCATCCCCTTGACATAGCGCAGTAGCCGCTTCACCGCAGCCCAATGATCCTCTCTGGGATCCTCCATAAAGCGACTGGCGTAGCCCACGACGAACGCAATGTCCGACCTCGTGTGGACTAGGTAGCACAGACCGCCGACGATGCTCCGGTAGAGTGCCGCATCCACCTTCACCGCGGTGCTGGCCTTCGTCAGCTTCAGCCGCTCCTTAATCGGAGTCACGCATGGCTTGCACTCAGCCATGCCGCTCCTCTCCAACAGCTTGGAGGCATACGCGCTCTGACCGAGCGTGAGTTCCTCCTTCCCCTATCTCACCTCGGTGCCGAGGTAGTTGGAGAGTGCGCCGAGATCGTTCATTCGAAAACGAGCCGCCATCTCGCCCATGAAGATGTTGATGTCCTCCGCGCGCGCGCCGGTGACGATTAAGTCATCCACATACACGCCGACGAGGAGCTCCTCCTTCCCCCGTCGCCGCATGTAGAGTGCGTGCTCGGTTGCGCACATTTAACGTCCAAGTGATGGACGCGCCAGTCCTTTGCTGCTGCCAAACCAAGTAGTAAATGTACCGACTCCATGCGTGCTACTAGCACAAAGACACCCTTGAAGTCTATACCCTCGCGCTGAACAAAGCCTCGAGCGACGAGACGCGCTTTGTGCTTGACAATGGCGCCGAGATCGTCCCGTTTGACCTTGTACACCCACTTCAGGCTGATCGGACGGCATCCTGGAGGTGGATCGACGAGCTGTCAAGTCTCATTTTCCTTGATCGCCTTCATCTCCTCCAGCATCGCCCGTCGCCAGTTTCCATCGCGCTCGGCTAGCGCAAACGTGGGTGGTTCCTCTGTACTGACAAGCAGCAGCTCTGCATCATTGAGCAGCCTACCCGCCAGACTTGAGGGACCTATGCCGCTAACGATGTCATCCAACCTGCGGAACCGCACCTCCTCACCTTCGTGGAAGGCATCCACGAACTCAGTGATGTCACTTGGAGGTGAGGCGAACTCGATCGGCGTCGATGGAGTTCCCTGTTCCACCGGAGTGCTTGGCATAGCACCTTGAGTGCTCGGCACCCTGGTTGCAGTGCTCGGCACTACTTCTAGATAGCTCGTCATAACTCCTGCAGTGTTTGGCCACACTGTAGGAGTGCCTAGCCTCAGTCTTGGAGTGGTTGGCACCACTACAAGGCGTCTTGGCTCTGCCACGAGAGTGCTCGGCACCCGTCCTATAGTGGTTGCCACCACTGCAGAACCTCTCGGCACCACTCCTGGTGTGCTCGGCATCCCTCCCGAAGTGCTCGGCACTGCCTCAGGAGTGCTCGGCTCTACCGTCGGAGTGCTCGGCACCTCTTCCCCAGCGTCTCCACCACCATGGATGACCAAGTGCTCAACGATGAAGGTGTTGGTGAAGCTGCCAGCTTCCCCCGTGCTCAGACTGCTCCAGTCCCAAGCCGCCTCCTCGTCGAACACAACGTCGCGTGAGACAAGCACCTTGTCTCCACATGGGTTGTAGAGCCGGTACGCCTTGGTACCCTCCACATAGCCTAGGAACACCATGGGTGTGCTCCTGTCCTCCAGCTTGGTGAGGTTCGGCTTTGTCTTCCTGACGTGGTCGATGCAGCCGAATGTTCGGAGGAAGGACACGCTTGGCTTGCGCCCATACCAAGCTTCGAACGGCGTCTTGCCCGTCAGGGCCTTGGTCGGAGCGTGGTTGAGGATGAACACCGCCGTGGTCACCGCCTCTCCCCAGAACCTTGTCGGCATGCCTTTGGCCTTCATCATGGATCGGGCCATACCGACCATCGTCTGGTTCCGCCTCTCCACCACGCCATTCTATAATGGCGAGTACGGCGTGGTGTGGTGTTTCCCCACACCTTGATCCACGCAGTACACAGCGAACTCCACCGAAGTGAATTCCCGCCGCGATCAGTCCTCAGCACGCGGAGCTTCATGCCGCTCTCGGCCTCCGCGCGCGTCTTGAACTTCTTGATCGCCGCCGTCGCTTCGTCCTTGCTCGTCAGGAGTTAAAGCCACATGTAGCGACTGCAATCATCCACGAGCAGGAGGAAGTACCACCGACCAGCGTTTGTAGCAGGCATGATCGGCCCACAGATGTCGCCGTGGACGAGCTCGAGAGCGTCCTTTGCGCGATACTTGGCCGCCTTTGGGAAAGGTAGCCTCCTCTGCTTCTCGGCCAGGCAGCTGTCACACAGCTCGCCTCCGTGCTTGATGTGGGGTAGCCCTCGGACCATCTTCTCCAGCCGACCAAGCGCGTCAAAGCTGAGATGTCCGAACCAGGCATGCCACATCCACGGTACCTCGGAGTGCCTTGCCGCCAGGCACACCGACTGTTCTACCTTTAGGTCGAGCAGGTACAACCGGTTCAGGGACCTCTTCACCTTGGCAAGAAGTCGTTGCTCCTGGTCCCTGATCCTAAGGACTCCGTTCTTGATCAGTACCTCGCTACTGCGCTCATCTAGCTGACCAATGCTGATGATGCTAGAACACAGCTGCGGGACGTAATATACATCCGTTAGCGTGCGGTGCTCCCTGTTCTGGCACCTGAAGATGATGGTGTCGTGCCCTTAGATAGCCACCCTTGAGCCATCACCAAACTTCACCGTAACGGTAACATCGTCGTCGAGCTCGGAGAAGGATGCCTTGGAGCTCGTCATGTGGTTACTGGCACCAGAGTCTAGATACCACCGCTGCTCCTGGTCGGCGCCCACACGTCCGAGGTGAACTTGGGTGTGTGGTTTCGTCAAGGTTGACGGTCTTCAGGGCCTTCCTAGGTCCTTCCACCATCGTCGCCTCTTCCCTCTCCTTGGCCTCGACGTCGTGCAGTGCATAGAACGTCGCCATCAGGATAGTGGCCTCATCATCATCATCGGCTTGCGCCAAGTGAGCCTGAGCCTTCTTCTCCTGCTTGCGGTTTGGGCACTCCCATACCCAATGGCCCATCTTCCCGCAACGCCGGCAGGTGTCGGGGTTGACCTGCTTCTTCTTCAAAGAAGCCTTGCCACGGCGCTTGCCATCGCCACCGCGGCTGGAGGAGGCTGCCTTCCCGGAGTTCCTCCGAGCAGCCCACTCCTCTTTCGTTAGCAGGAGTTTCCCGCTGTCCTTCGTTGCTGTCACCTGCTCTAGGCGCTCGTCCACTGCCCACAGATGACCTGTCACATCCTCAATGGTGAGGATGGACAAGTCCAGCATCGTCTCTATGGAGAGAGCGATCTGGATGTACTTTATCGGCACAGAGTGGAGGTACTTGGAGACCGCCTCCTCTTTGTCGATGGTGACACCGTGGCTCTTCAGCTTGCTGATGAGCATCTGCAGGCGGAGGGAGAAGTCCTCCACCATTTCACCATCCTTGAACTTGAGGTTGGCGTACTCCTGCTTCAGAAGCTAGGCCGTTGCCTTCTTTGTGCGGTCGGAACCGACGCGCATCGCCGCAATAGCCTCCCACGCCTCCTTAGCCGAGCTCTTCGCCCCCAACGGCTCCCTGTACTCCGCCGGTACAGCAGCGAGGATAGCCTCCAGCGCTGACATGTCATCCTCCTCATTTTCAGTGCCCTTATCAATAGTATTCTAGAGCCATCGGGCTCTGAGCTTGACCTTCATGGTCACCAACTACTCTCCATAGTTGGTGTGAGTCAGCGTCGGCCAACTAGTGCTGCTGACCTCCCGCACCGTGCGAACAACGACCTCCTATCGTGGCTGGGCAGCCAAAGCAGTGCCACTACTGTCGCCCATCTCCGAACCGCCCGTCATCGCCAGCGGTTAGTCTAGCGACGGCGCTTGTACGGCTCTAATACCACTTGTTGGCCCACAGGATCACCGGCTCAGGTGAGTGAACCACTCACCAGTCTTACCGAGCACCCGATAGTGTTGCCGAGCACCCACTAGCCGTGCCGACCATGAACAGGCGTTGTCCGTCCCCACACACTATGGCTAAAGCTAGAAGAAGGGAGAA